ACCGTGAATCACAGCGTGACCCGGTTACTGAAGGGGGAGGTTTATATCAGAGCCCACCATTTATCACATCTCCCAAAATAGCTCGAGTCTGCATGCAGATCTGTGAACGTTGGCATGACATATGATGATTAAGGTAAGCAGACTGCGCTGTTCTCTCCACCTGCTTCACACACACACACACACACACACAGACACACACACACACACACACACACACACACGCACACGCACACGCACACGCACACACACACACACACGCACGCAGAACGTGTATCTGTGGGCTATAAAACGTTGAACATAGTTCTGCTGTGGTTCCAAACACCATCACGCGAGAGACCATGTTCCTAAAAGTCAGATACAATCTGTAAAAAAAAAAAAAAGCCATGGAAACGTTCAAAGCTGTTACCTTTTTTGGCTTTTTAACTGAGTTGGCCAGCTGCTGGGAACAATATGTTTGACCTTGTCTTGCGCCACTTTGCCACGGCGTTACTTCATCATGTTGTGGCGCCATGACAGACGTCGGAAGTTTAGGACGGGAATATTGAATGCAGCGACTGCTATTGTTTTCCCCGAGTTATTTTATTTTTTTACTAATATAGCTGTGGAAGTGTGGAAGTAGCACATGTAACTGGGTATCATAGATAGCAATATTTACAAAAGTTAGTTCACAGAGTTCGGCCGCACACCGTACAGGGGAGTTTTCATTTATCGTGGACGCTAGAACAAGTCCACATCCATCTTAAGTGTGTTTTTTCATTGCAAGCAGAAAAAGATTGTGCTTTTCGTAGAGGTTTGTAATCTGGTAAGTTATCATTAGTATTTCAAGGTAACAATAAAAAAAAACTGATTGTGCAGCACTTTCTGCGACACTGGGGGCGTAACTGTGAGATTTCCTTCGGCCATGTTTCATTTTCAGCTCATGGCGGAAAAAACTTTGGGCTTTTTAGGCTTAAATGTCAACTTTGTGGATGATTTTTCTTTTCTGTTATTTTCTGGTTCAGAACTAAGAAATTCAACCTTTAGTTCATATACCTCCAATCGTGTGTTTATGTTCACGAACTTTTACCACACAGTAAAAGGGTTTGTCTTTAAAACTTCATAAATATGTGAAGACAAAAAAAAAATCTAATTTGCTGGAAACCTGACAAACACCTTAAAAAACCCCAAATGTTCCTGTATTTGTTTAGCTTGGTGTTAAGCCAAAAATAAATCACGAGTGCATTTTAATTAAGGCGGCATTTTGATCACAGGAACAAAGAAAACAGTTCCTCATCTGCCTCCAGTGTGATTTTCCAGCACATCCTCCTATGTAACAATAAGCTCTGCCAACCCTTCCTCTCACTTGTCCTTTTAGCACCTGCAAACACATACCGAGCTTGTCATTATATTGTTATCTGTCTGCACTTCTGCTAAATACAAGTGGGCACAGGAGAGACTGAGGAAGTCAGAAGATAAATAAACACAGTGGTGGATCTGAAAGTTGGTGGTTATCCAGAGGAGGAGTGGTAAACACCGCTCTAAGCTCCTGGCTTTGTGGGATCCAACTGGCCGGCATGCCGCAAAGTTGGATCCAAATCCCAAACTTGTACGCAAAACGGTGGAGTCGAAACGTTAGAGTTTATGTTCTTTTCCTCGTCAGAGTTGACCGATTCCCAAATGTAAGCCAGCGTGCGTTTGTAGGATTTGTTTTTATTCAAGATGTGCTTTTGGTGTTGAAAAAGCAAAAGTCATTTATAGTGTTTTTGTCACAAGTTCCTGCTTCCTCATTTTCAATGAAAAGGTGCCGACGACCAAACATGTTTTTTTGTCAGTAAATCAAACCGCCCGAGACACTGTCGGCAGCTTATAGGGAGCAGCATTTCCTGCTTCTTGCCAAAACCGAGGCCTTTGTTATTTAAGGATGCATGTCGTCTTGCAACAACACATTCCTGCAGACAATTGAATGCATGTACCTGCAGCTGTGCACTTGGAGTAAAATTTACTGGAGAAAAACAATGAAGGGAAATTGATCAAAAAATGCCAATTAGTTAGTTTTAGGTCAACCATATATGAGAAATGCGAGGATAGCACGGTAAGTAATGAAATCCGGTTCACAAACCTCATAAAATCAGCCTGACAAAAATACAAGAGGTGAGTGAAAGCAGAATAAATATGGTGAAAAAGAGCATTTATTATTCTTAATCTTTTTAACATTTTGATTAACTAACACCACAAACTTCAGTCTATTGGGATTTCAAAATCGATTTATTGCGGCTGGCCTACAGATGGATAAATATGTGACATAATTGGAGGACATCTTGTTCAAATGTAAAACATAGAAGTCACTCAAACATCTCACAATATAATCTCACTATGCAACTCATCCACCCTTCCCTATTTAGCTCCCATCGTGTCCCGTCTTTCCCAGTCGTCTGGCCCTTTCACCCCGCTCTCTTCCTCCTCCTTCTCCTCCTCTCATCACCTGTGTGGGGGATGCAAAGCCAAATCCACTCAGCTGGAATTAAACTCACTGGGGCCTTAGAGATTCCACCGCTTCACTCTGATCACACAAACACATAGAACCGTCACCACACACAAACGCACGCATATGCTGGTTCGCCGAGCTGACGGAAACACTGAGGCGGCGAGTGGAAAGATGTCACAGACATGAAGGTAGTAGGGGCGGGTGTCAACTGGGCAGTGCCCACGCCATAGAAAGTGAGGGATAAACATTGCTGTCATAACAGCGGTGACAGCGCTGGGTCTGCACCTACACTGCTTTAAAGGAAAATAACACAGTATTACGTTTAGGCGGTGGCCAAAAATCACAGAGTGTGCAGTGCACAGACATCCAGAATGCGTTCTTCCACTCCGCTTGGGGCTGATAGCTCGAGGCAACATGAGTCACTGCCAGGTGAAGGTTGCATTGTGGGTACCTTAGGTATATTTTAGGCATTTAATCAAAAAGAGTGTATTTATTTTCACCCGGGGCCAGCTTTTAACTAAGACAAAGGCAATCTGTTGTTGTGGATCTGAGTCATTCAAGATTGGACAACTGCCAATATCAAGTTCTAATGCTATATTACTTTCAAAGAAGTCAAATCAGAAGCAGGAAAATGTTTTAAACCTCAGCAGCTGAGAAGAGGAGGGAAATGACATCAAATGCATTCGGACAGTTTTTCCTGTTGTTGCAAAAGCCCAAAAACGTGAACTGTTGCATGAGACAAACCACACTTTTCACACCTGATTATTCAATTGGACACCAAATTTGCAACATTTGTTACATTTTCAGCTGGTGCGGTTCGCTTTCACACTTCACTGTGTCAAATCCAGCAACCCGTTTGATAAACCTGTTCACCCACCTCACCTGAGGGGGCGCTGCACCAAGAACAACTGAAAGAAACAAACACAAAAATCTCTAAAGAAATGTAAACAAAAATGGGGTAGCATCAGATTTTTGTGCTTTTAGGATTTCTCTTTTGTCTGTGTTGAAAGACCACAAGCCATTTCTCCCGGTAGCACTAGACTCATGTCCACATTTGTTAAAGTTGTATGTACTCACAATGCACCTCTTCCTGCTTTTCCAGCGGTCTTTGGTCTGCTTGCGTTCACATATGCTTTTCACTACAAGCGAACCTAGACCTTCGTTTTTGGGCAGACTTATTCCCAGAGGAAACTCAACATGGATTGCCAAAGCTGTTGGGATGAACTGCTTCTTTAGATACAGGTCTAAACATGCCAAATAATGCACTTTAAGTGAATAATCATATTTACGTTCTGACTCAGAGGATGATACACCAACACCAATAAATATTCTAACCCTAATTAAAGACAGGCCAAGTCCACTTACCTTAAAATTGAGTTGCAAGTGGATTTTAAAGCTCTTTTTCATTTTTATTCATGATATATATACAATCACTAAATATCCATTTGGCAACTTTTTTGACTGTATTTGATACAGTATTTGCTGCCAATGATAGTTTAATTTATTTTGACTTCAATGTAAAAAAAGGATGAAAATTCAGAGAGTTTGCCAGTAAAACTGTTTAGAGCAAAGATCCTCATGAGACATCGACTATAATATTTTGATAACTTTGTCACCTAAAACATACATTTCTTTTTAAAGACATAACCGATGCAAACATACAGTTAAATTCCTGTCTTTTTCCCACTAAAGTTGCAACTCTGAATTATTTTAGTTGTTGAGTAATCCCTCTATTAATGATTAATTAATTGTACTACAATGGGCACTGAGAGTTTTTTGAGGTTGTTGCGCTAAAACCTACAGTAAGGTTGCGCCTGCATTTTCCTACATTATAACTGTGCGCGCAACATCCACGGCTACTAATTCATTGTTAACGTGGGAGTGTCTCTTTCCAGGACATTTTCTTCCCATAAAAACCTAAACAGTCATCTCGGTTGGCTTTGTTCGGTGATGAGTTATTAAGATATGTGCAGCAGCACGTTAAGAACTTCCGTTTATTATCACAGGATGTCCAAATCTCAAGCTGGTATGTAGAGAAAGAAATGATCTAAAACGTCTTGTTTGCTGTGCCTGAGTGTGAACGCGTACTGTTGTTCAGGAGCAAGCTGCGTGGATGCTTCTCTACAGATTGTTTAAAGCATCTGTTCCACATCGGCACATGAGAAAAGTGGGAAGTTGGTTGTGCTCGTTAGCTGAATGTCAAATTCAATCAAGATTAAAAAAGAAATACCTTGGCAGTTCAGTTTGTGTAAATTGAAACTGACCTGTCAACATGTGCTATGTCCGGTATTTCCTATTGTTCTGGGTAGTGCTTGTGTTCAGTGAGCAGTCATATGATCTGTGACATTTCCTTTTTCTATATCACCCTTTTAACAGCGTCTGAGGAGATCAGGAGGGGGGCAGGATGGTGACTCAAACCACGCCTGCCTCCATCCACCTTCCCCGAATCAGTGACAGAGGGAGGCCATGGTGACTATGTTTATTTTCTCTTCTCAGTCACTTCAAACTCTACAAAAATAAAAAGGATGTAGGGTTTTTTCCCCCTATAGAAAGGTTATGCTTGTCTTTTTTTTTTGAGACAACCCTTCTCTCATTATTCCCACTGAGCTGTCAGACCGACCGAAGAAGCTGTTTTATCTAGATGATCCCACTGCCCCGAACACAAGGAACTGCTGCTTCTCGATAAGGCTCGTCTGTGGGCGGGGTAGTAAGCTGTGGCACTACAAGAGGAAAAAAAATAACATGTAAGAGAAAAGAACAAAAATCCCAAACGTCCACCGGTCACATCCTACACAAGAAAATACCATCTGCTCAGTCCAGACGTTCATGCTTACCAAGGAATTTCCAAGAAGTGTCGCTTTTACAGTTTGCAGCGAGGTTCACGTGATTTAAAGCACCATCTGCTGAAAAGGGGAAAAAAGAGGATCAAACATAGATTAATAACTCTTAAACTCAAGACCGTCTTGTTATTCAGGCGTGGAATGAGCAAATTCATTTTACCAGTGAAGCTACTGCTGCTGTTCATTATCAGAACATCGTGTGACATTAAATCAGCAGTCAGGGTTTTGATGTTGGAAATTGTTTCAGTACGAAGTCGATGCATTAAATGCCCGACGTGGGGCATCCAAAGTGCCGAAATTGCCTCTCGTTGACGTAAACGCGTGACAAAAGTCGTGTCGTTTTGTTCAAAGAGAAAGACGTCCGCCCGCCGAACTCCACACCAGGTTGAACTATTTCATACAGAGCTCTGCTGAAGCTGGATCCTTTGACCCTTGACCCTTCCTTGCTACCATGCTACCGGCTCTTCAGGCAACACAATGGACCACAAGTGAGGCATGTCACCATTTCACTCAGCTGTTACCATTTCCTGAGGGAAACAGTTCGTGACAGTCATTGAGATAGTAGTCAGAACGACTATGATGACTCAAGCTTGAGTCAGAGCAAAAACAGGATAGGAAACAGAAACTAGCATGACACAGGGTAGAAGTAATATAAAGCCCTATATGGCACACATACAGGCAGGGAGGTCTTGAGGGAAAACACGCACACATCCAACTTACTCTCTGCAAAGGGCAGACATGATTGGAGGGAGGACAGAACGACATTTCATCACACAGCCCCAAGATTCAGCCAGGAAGCAACCAGTGTCACTGGTCACCAGAATGGAGGAAGTCCCCTGAATGAAACCAATCACATGTGAAGCATGAATCACACCTTTTCATTGAGTCAGCAAATACATTCATAAGGAAGAAAAGTGAATTTCCAATGTTCTCTGTAATTATGGAAAGAATAAATAGTTCACTCAAGGTTACGCCAAACATTACACCCGTTATTTGTCAATGTTGACTCACCGCTGATGAATGAAGCTAAAGAAATCAAATCAGGGCAGACGCACAGCAAAAGACAATCAACAAGGAGCATAATTCTCTTTTTAATGTGAGTTGGGTTGAATAGGGAGCATAAAAGCTGTCAAGAATCTGTTTCATTGTCACGTATCAAAAGGAAGACTGTTAATGACATTACAAAGACTTTTAAGACAACTTAATAAGAAGACCTAAATGAAAAATGAGTGTTTTATTGAAACCCCAAGGACTTTACTAAGAATAAACACAGTGAAAATGATCAATTAATCCACACCAATACTTGAATGAAGTATTTACATATAGGCTGAAAATGTCAAAAAGCAACAGATCATGTAGAGACAAAATGGCTTTCATGGCAAAAGTCCAAGGCCAGAGTACGGCTACGCAATAATAACACAAAGGTCTGACTCACTGACCCCAAAAGACTTCTTTGTGGGCATCATGATTTTGCAGAACATATTTTTTTGGACTGATGAAACAAATACAGAACCTTTTGGAAGAAAAGTTTCACGTTACATGCGGTGGTGAACTCAAGATTTCACAAAAAGACAGAAAAACTGAGTCAATTGGTGGAATAAGTCCTGTCAAGTTTATTGGCATAGCACATTTCAGTCACAAATAGTGAAACAACCAATGATCGTTTCATTTTGTCTAATGCAACCATCAAAATCATTAAGAAAATATACGTCACATAATGCTGATCAATATTCAGAATTCTGCTCCCTACCAAAAATTGCTGAAGGAGAACATCTGGCCACAAGAACAAAAACAATAATTCAACTCACACTATCTCTGAGTAGTTAAGGAAACATGAACATTTTGGAGTGGCCTAGTCAAATTCTGCACTTAGATTAGATTGAGATGCTTTGGCATAACCCTGTAAAGGCCTTTCAAGCAGACAAATGAAAACTACTAATGTGGATGAATTACTGAAACTCTGACAAAGAACAGAAGTCCAAGGTTTCTCCAAATTCATGCAAAAGATTGAAGTTGTTGCTGCCAAAATGGGCATAACCAGTTTGATTTTACTTCTATATGGCCAGGTGAGTTATTGTAGGTTTTTCCCCTTAAATTTGTCAAACTGCATTTCCTTACATTACCTTTGTCTCATAAGGAGTTTGCCAAATCTGTTGGACCATCTGAACCACTTGAGAGTGACAAAAATGGCAGAAACAGACCAAATTTCACCGAAAAGCTTCAGTTCGCAGTTGAAGGGAAAGTTTCGTGGTCGGCCCTCCCAGCTCACCAACATTTGTGGTTGCGAGGATGAAGAGGGGAGGCATAAATGTTTTATTTTTGTTTTTTTTTTTTACAACCATCTGCAGCCTCATTTGCTGCCAGCATTAAGTTCAGCATTAAAATGTGTCACACTCAAGTGTCACAACTCACAGATCCGAAAGTCCTACTACGATCGTGACACCCGAGCTGTCCACGCACAGTCTGGGCCGAGAGAGCCTCTGATTGGCTCCCCTTTTGGGAAAACACACAAAGACAAACCAACATCACGGCTCAGAGAATTACGACAATCTTCCTTGCGAAACGAGCCGTGAAAAGGGGCCAACTTTGCTGAAGGCCCGGCAGAAGCGCAATTTGATTTTAATTATCAGCGGGAACATTGCTTCCACTTTCCCTGCAATATCCAGTCCGCGTTAATTCGCCTCCTTCTCATCCGTCCATTTCCTCTTCCGTCCGCTTCCCTCCAACGCGCACTGTTGTGACATCACGCAAAGATCTAATGAGAAGTACATTAAAGTGTGCGATTGTGACTCATTTAGTTTACGGACGGCGTCTAAGTGCAACTGCGAAAGCAAGTGTTGCCGGCCCCCGTGGCAGCGATTTGTCTTTCTGCTCTGCCAGACAAGCATTCACCTCGTGTTTACCTTGGTGCAGTAAAAATCAATGCGGCTCATAAAAACAGGCAAAAGAAAAGATCAAAAGGTAATTTCCTGTCTCCTAACAGTCAGGTCGCCATCGCAAGCTAATGGCTGCTTTATCTACGGCTGCCATTAATGGAGCATTTCACCATGAGCCTCCTCCCTTTCTCTGGATGGAGGCAGTTAGTGCTCTGAGTCAGTTTATCTCTGTTCTTTGTTTCTCTCGAGTCGTACGGCCATAAATGGTGAGTTTGGAGAACTGATAGAAAGAAGGCCTTGGTGCCAGTTCATTAGAGGAGCGATCAATGTCCTGGAAATGAGCCTTTACCAGAATCCAATCAGTGACGGAGTTAAAGCCTGTTATCGTGCAGCGACTCTGGGCCCTGATGAAAGCGGACGAGGCGAGCGGACCGGAGAGGAGCCGGGCGGGGGAGAGACAGAGACAGAGAGGGGCTGAGATAGCGGTTGGGTAATTTTCCCTTTACAGTGAAATTCCTAAAAAGGATCTGTGAGCGGGAGGCAGGAAGTTAAGAGGAAGTTTGACCTTGTGTTGGCAATTTGAAAAACAGAGGACGTTGATCTGCTGACGAACTGAAATGGACGATGTGCAGGGACGTCGATCAAATCTTTATTTTGTGACAGGATTTATTGTTTGTGATTCACAGGTTTTTCACATTTATGCTGGAAAATTGCCTTAAAAATACTGATGATTGCAAAGGTATTCTTCAAAAGATTAAGTGTTTCTTTGTTTTTTTCTTTCATTCACATAAAATGAATGAAAGAATAAAACTCGTGAAACTGTAGAACAAAGACTTAAGATTTATTTTAAAAGTATCCCAACTACACTTTAGTCAAAGACTATTTCTACTACTGCAGAGAAAGCTACTAAGTACTTATTCAACAATTTGTTCCTTGTTAATGGAAGCAATGTTAACATTTTGAATTTAACAATTTTTAAGTTTTTATTAAAAAATGTGCTTTTAGTTACTTTATTAAAGGAAAATACAAACTAAAGAAACTATTTTTTTTACTTGTAATGATATTTTATGTGCATGGTACTAAAGTTTAAGACTTTATCAAATGTTTTTTATTTGTACATACTTACAATGTACAAATTGCGTCATCAAAAATAGATCGTATTCAATCCCACACCTCAATAGTTTAAATCTATTCAGGCTCAGAAAAAAAAGACAATCCATCCATCAATCCTAAATTGCATCCTCTTGTCATCTGTGAAATCAGAGGCACGTGGCCTAATTTACCCAGTATGAACACCGACACCTTTATTGTTTAGTACATGGTAATAATAAAACTATCCCATTGTCTGATTTTGCTCCAGAATGCTCCTGAATCCATTTTGAACTGCCTCACTGCTGAAATGTGCCTTTAGAAACAAACTTGACTGATTGATTTATTCTCGCAGGAGAAAATGGCTGGACGAAGGAGTTATGCCAGTGGCACATTTCCGCTTGTGCCACCCGAAGGAACTGGTGCAACTCTCAGGTTGGCTAATTTGTGAAGGCGGTAATTGCAGGAAAGCGCTTCCACATGCGGAACATGAGGCATGAGTCAGAAGAGTGACCGCCTCCCCCTCGCCCTGCAGACACATGTTCTCAATGACAGTTGATACTTTAAAAGCTCATTTTATCCCGTTTGACGCCATTTACCTTTCCTTTTGACTCATCCTCCCAACCTGCACTCAGTTTCACTCTTTCCCCTCGCTGCAAACCTGATAAATGTCAACTCAAATAGCCATCACTTCTCCCCAGTGAGCCTCCACCCCTGGCCCACCAGCCCCTGCAGCCTCCCCTCCTCCTGAAGTCGACCTCATCTGCCGTGCTTCTCCCTCCCACCTCCTCTGGGCCACCTGTCGTCACAGTGCTGAAATTAATTTGCCGTCTCTTCTAGCTCCTAAGCAGACAGTGCTCTCAAACCCCCCTCCAACCCCCGCCCCATCAATACGAAGGCGCAGCGAGCTTTCAAGCCGCTTATGTCCATCTCGTCCGGCTGCAGGTGTCAGGCGTCGCCCCGTGAGTCACCAGCTGTCACCGCCCACCTGCATTCGCTCCCTTATTAGCAGCTGCTATCGTCACAGCTGTAATGATGCTCCCGGCCTCAGTTGTTATAACTTCGAAGTTCACTCTGAGGAAGAGTCAGTTGCTCTTACTTTCAGTCCATGAGCAGAATAAAGTGCAGCAGTGGCCCAACTGGAAGGTCGTCTTCAGTATGAGATTTGTGGAAGAGGTCCGATTTTTGTTCTTTGGCTTATTAATACTGGTTTTCCTTTAACGACTAAAAGCATTGAAAATATTTATTTTGTCCTTGTTTTCCTGTCTGCATAACGGTCTTTAAGTATTAATACAAAGAACAAGAATGAACACTGGATGGAGCAATGTTGAGATAACTCAGTGATTCAAAGAAAGCTGATAGCAAAGAGAAGACAATGTCTGGCTGGATGATCCAGCTTAGATGATCCATCAGAGAGATTGAGGTAAATAACCACCATCATCCAGTTTCTGTATTTGTCTCGTGTAGAGAACTGGAAAATGTTTTTCCAGTTTTCTACATGTTTACTCTGTGCTTGCCATTTTTAGTCAAAAGATTCATGCTCTCTTTTGCACTCAACCCACATCTCTGGGACCTTCGATGTTTTAGGGAAAATATAGCACCCATGGCCTAGAGGGCGCTTTTCTCGCATTCTGGTTAAGATCAGGGTTAAAGTGTAAACAGAGCAGAAGGTGGTTAATCTTGTGCTGTCCACTGAATGGAAGACAGTTTCTTTCAAAGTAGGAACATCCTGACCCCTGATCACACAGTCGTCATGACTTCTCAGTAAACATTGACCAGGTCAGTCTCACACCTTGACCATCTACATTCTCATTTTGAGTTACTCGAGGACTGCGCTGCCCAATCACCAGATAAATGCCAAACAGTCTAGTTCAAAAGATCCTCTAAAGGTCTTTCGAACCTTTGGGGATTCAACATACCTGCTCTTCTTACCTTTCGACCCCACATTTGATCCTGTCTGCCGTGTTACACATATTTGGTTCTTTCCCCTGTGAATAAATATATAAATAAGCATTAAGTCACTTTCTTATCACCCTGACTTCTTCCTGTAACACCATTGTGATTTTCCCCTGCAAGCCCTGCCAACACTCAGTCTCTGTACCTGACAATCTTGTTGTATTTTTGAAGCATACCAATTATCTCCTCCTCTATTCACACTCATTAGACTTCAGTAAATGCTGTCACCTTGCAACCGCAGAATTCCAACGTATTACACTGTGATTTTGTGAGACAAAGTGGCGCATATTTGTGAAGTGGAAGGGGCAGGAAGTGAAGTGGGGCAGCGCTTGAATCGCTTTGCACAATCCAGAAACAAAATATTTAACTCTCTTCTCCACAAAACAGCTATCTATCTAGATAGCCAGCTGGACAATTAGCTAGCTGTCATTTCGCTAGATTCGCAGTTAGTTAACTAGACAGTTAGCTAGCTAACCAGTTAGGTAGATAGCGTATTAGCTTCTAGATAGGTTGCATATTAGCTTCTGGATAGATAGCATATTAGCTTCTAGATAGATAGCATATTAGCTTCTACATAGGTTGTGTATTAGCTTCTAGATAGGTTGCGTATTAGCTTCCAGGTAGCATATCAGCTAGCTAGAAGCTACTCAGCTAGCTGGTAGTAAAGTGATTGAAAGTCACAATCACCGACCTGTGATATGATCCCTCCTAAAATGTGGAAAGTAAAAAAAACAAAAAACAAAACAAAAGAATTGTCAACTCTTTTCATTTCAACTCACTTCCAGCGAAACATAATAGTTCCTTGGAAACTTCCTTAACCCAAGATGGTGACGGCCTACGCAATAATTAAAGCTGGGTTCAGTTACCGAAGAACTCGTCGAGCTGACAACGTGAGGCAACACGTCTGGCTCCAATTTCTCAATCAAGAGGGCCTCTTCTGCTCATTCAGCAGCCTCGTTCGCACTCACGGACTCCCTGACAGGTGCTTTTGCTTTCACTGATACCAGAGCTTTTCTGATAGGAACTGGGAAAGAAAAGCCTCTTCCAGGGATTGCATGCTGTCACAAACAGCGATTGGAGTTATGGTCTGAATGCAGCTCAGACAACGGATTTTTCTTCAGGCACTTTGGTGCATTTCTCTGATCAGAAGTAGATTTCTCATAGCTGCTAGTTGAACCAACGCAACATCATTTGTGCATATCATGGAAGTGATTTCATTCTGCCGGTGATAGTTCAAATACTTTTGCACATCCATCAAATGTTTTCCTGCAATTCTCTTCTTCTTCTGGTCCTTCTAATTTGCTTATGTCATGTCCAGAAAGTGAACCATGCTTGAATAGTCATTCCCCATAAAACTTAAATTGTGTTTCTACATAGTGAGGAACTATTTAATTCAGGTCTCCCGCACTGAGAATGCATCTAATAATTTGAGATTTGAGAGTTACACCTCCGATCTAAATCTTTCGGATGCAGCTTTGGATGTTTTTTAGAATTGTTGCCTGACTTTTGCCAAAGTCAGGCAAAGTCTTTGCCTGACTTTGGCAAAGAATTTGTGATAATCTTCCAAAAACACCCAAATGATTTATTAATGTAATGACTCCTCCACAGAGCCTCTGGTTGTATGATTAGGGTTTCTATTCATCTGGAAAGTGAAGCAGAGCGCCCCCTCTGCATGATGCCATATTTTACCGGGGAGGATGGTGCGTTCAGGAAGCTGCGACAAGTTGGGCAAACAGTAACATTTTGGTCTCATCTGACCAGAGAGCCTTCCTCCACCCGCTTCCTCTGCCCCCCATCTGGCTTACAGGAAACTGCAGGATTTTTTTCAATGCTTTCTTCTTGCCACTCTTTAATGGAGGCCAGATTTGTGAAGTTCATGACTAATAGATGTATTGTTCACAGATTGTTAAAACGTGATTATTGATCTCTGCACCTCCTCCAGAGCTAACATGGACATATCTGCTCTTTTGGGCTTACATGGACCTTTTGTAGGTTTTGCAATTGTGCCAAACCTGTGCGATCGAACAGTGCTCTGTGACATGTTCAAAAGGAGCGCTGTAAGAATGCATATTCACACTTTTTCATGGACAATAAAATGTTACAATAAAGTATCACAAAATAAGGGTTGGTTAAATACAATTAAAGTTTGCAGTTGTGATGTGAGAATGCCCCAAAAGAGTTCACTGTGAATACAATCCTAAAAAAAAAACACCTCCCAATCCAAAAGAATGTCTAAAAACTCCAGAAAGAAAAACAACAAAAAAACAAGCAAGTTTCCTGTTTGAAAGGAAGTTGAGCGTCACTTGAAGTGTTGAGAGGAAGAGTACATTAGCCAACAGGAAACTGTTCCCTCCTGCATGCTAAACACTGTGCAGAGGAATGTTTGGATAACCTTTTTAATCTGCACTCAGTTTACTGCTGAATCCACAGTTTTGCTTTACATGCGGAAAATGTCCTGAGCTCGCTGTTTCTGTGTAATTATTACACAGAAATTAAAAATCACTGCTTGTCTTGATGAAAAGTCCAAAATGATCAAGATGTTCTTCTGCAGTTTATTTCATTGCTTTGTGTTTTTTTTGTTGTTGTTTTTTTCCACAAAAAACCAAAGATTTGCGTAACAGCTGGTAGGCATTTTTGGACAGAAGATCAGTGCTTCAAAATGCCAGCAAACACAAGGCGATAATGACCAAAGATTTGCTTTACAATTCTCAGTATGGACATTTGTTTAGTTGTTTCTTTATCGGCGTGTTTTATCTCTTGACGAACATTCCCACCCAGATGGTCTGGGTCGTGGGGGGAAGGAAAGCCAGCGCCTGCTGCCCCTGTTTACTCACCGACATCCCGCACAAACATGGCGGCCTCAAAGTCAGACAACAGTGAGTAATCGTGACCAATCTGCCCCTCCGTTCCTCTGGCTTCTGCTGCCTCCCGGCAGGCTGCAGCCCTGAGCCCGGGGCTCAGCTGGCGCCGCCCGGGGGGTTGTGCGTCGTGCTGAGCCCACCTGGCCGCTATGCTGGGTGTGATCGCCGAAAACGATGGCGATGAGGATGAAAGCGGGGACCGCGGTGTCAGCAGATGATCATGACAGAGATGATGTGGGGACCCGTCTGGGGAGAGATACAGGCGGTTCAGATGTTTTGAGAGGTGGCTCTTTGAAATGATCAGCACGTTGATGGTTTTGTAGAAAAGGGAGGAAGTGTTGCGAGTGGTGGAAAGGTCAACAGCTGGTTTTATCAGTTTGAAACAAGACCCACTAAAAACTACTCTGGTTACATTCTTGATTATTTGTTGTTCATCTTTTTAGTCTTACCAGCACCTGTATGTTTTTAACCTCCATTGGTTAAAGCAGTGGGATTTAGTGCCACTTGTTGGCGTGTTGATGCTGTAAAGTGAATTTTCCATCGGGACACGAATAGAGACCTGAATCTGAGTCCTAATCATAATAAATCCCTGACTGATGAGACTGAGCTGACAGATCCAGTCGGCAAAGAGAAAACAGCATTTCAACTGAAAGAAATGCATCCGTCACTTTTTAAAGTGCCAGAAAAGATTTCATATTCAGAGACAAGGAGAGAAACATTTTCAGTTTGACTTGCTTTTCAGTAGCTGAAACTGTCTGATGCTGGTTGCTAGCCGCTAGAGTTTCACAAACCCTTGTCTATAAAGTCACTGAAATCTTTCTACGACGCATAAATAAATCATGACTCAGGATTAAACCTCTACCTTTTTACTATCAAGCTGTCTGGCTTTGGTGCCGGGCCGATTCAGAGCTTTGTTGAACCGTCTTCGCTGCTTTTGCGACTCCAGTCAGAAAATGAACGCCGGCTAAAAAGAGGTCACGCAGGAGGAGGCCGTGCTGTGACCGAATGCAGGTGCGAGCGGCGCTTTCGCTAAATATTACAGTGAAACCTTAAAATAATCCAAGTCGTGTGTTTTCCATTTTAGCCGGACGGTGTATCTGAGGAAATGTAAGCTGAAAGTGAAACGCTCGGTGGAAAACACCTGGTTTTCTCAAGCGAAAAAGAGAAAATCTCAGTTTTGTTTCAAGCCGCAGGGTCTCAGTGTACTTCTCCTTCAAAGGAGAGGAATAATTTCAAAAGAAATACCTTCAGACTTGAGGGAGTTTCTGTTGTCCTTTGGGGTTTCATAACTTGCAACATTTGTACAGAGCAGTCTGAATCCTTGGTCCACAATTTGTGGAAACAAGATCCGTCAAGAGTTTTATTTATTTCTTCCTCGGTAGAAATTGACAATTACAACTTTACAAACGATCACGCCCCTGTAGCGTTTTGGCCTGGTGACAAGAGATTTATTTGTTCACACATTACAACTAAAGGCACGTCATTGAGTTTGGAGTATCAATTTAAGTCACAGAAACGTAATTGCATTCATCCCGTCTTCATTCTCCATACAGATTTTATCCCAAACATCTTTTGTGCGACGTTGCCTGAACCAGAAGCAAATTCCCGACAAACTAGCATTCCCTTAGCTGAGTTTCGCTCAGACGTTTGACTTTCACGCCCATAGGGCAGGAATGCTGCCCGGGGCGAAACAAGAGATTTATGACGAGGCTCTGTCGCTTCTTGCACGAATGTTATTTATATATCTATTTTTCAATCATTCCGCCTCTTGCCAGATTTTTTTTTGGCTCACACACAAACACACCGCTGCGCGTTTTAGTTTTATGGGTGCGAGCTAAAGAAAGGTATTTAAAACTGAGCTGCGTGTCCCGGGGCGTTCGGTAAGTGGATGTTTGTCGTGAGTGAATTTGAACCTTTCAGGTTCGGCGGATAAGCGACGTGACGTACGTTGAGCCAGACTCGCGCAGGCGTAGTGTGGTCGTGAGGTGGGAAACCGTCGTCACGCCTATTTTAACCGCGCATGCGCATACCTTCCCGGTGAGAGTGATGCGTTTGTAGATGTGGGTAAACACGGCTTTGCCTGCGTGTCGCGTCGCGTCGCTGACCCCCCTGAGTCAGAATTAGCAAACAAAGATCCTGTGACTCAAAGCCAACACTTTTCCCCCCATTAGGTCG